TCGACTGCTGACATTTTTCTTTTGACCAGATGTAAATTAATATTGCAAATAATGTTATTTCTAATTTTGATAGTTTTTGTTTATTATATTGTATTTTGGAAGCAAGAGTGGCATCCACTTTCTAAATAACATGCCTCCGGAAATTCTGTGAACTTTTATAAATGTTGATAGTTGTAGAGGGGCTTCAAGCCTTTTGTTCATAGGGTCGCTATGAGTTGTGTTTGACTCAACGGCAATCAACAACAACAAAAACATATTGTATTTTATTAGATTATCATTCTAACTTTGAAACATGGCTGTCAAAGATGCTAGCGAAAGTGTCAGTTCTGCTCATTGCACATTGTCCTGTTGTTTCTTTGCAAAGGTCTCTTTTGGTGTCACTTGTGCAGAGGGTGAGTTTAATTATAGGGAGCTCTGTTGGCTTAGTGGGTAGAGAGTTGTGCTACTAACTCAAAAGTGGCACCTCTGGTAGTTCAAATCCAACAGCTGCTCTCTGTAGGAGAAAGGCAATCTTTTTTTTTTTAATTTTATACTGATTTATTTACAAATTTTTAATACATCGCATTGTGCAACCTTATTATTAAAACTCCCCCTCCACAATCCCCCCCTTGGATTCTCATACTTATTCTATAATAATGGTTTACGCTATGAGTTGGTTCTACTCAACAACCAGTTTTAATCAGATAATATAATCAACATAACCACTTAACCCAACCCAGAAAATGGCAATAAATCATAAATTGACAGAGATTCACTGAGTGGGACCATTACTGCCAATCCTTGAGAATGAGTAACTTGCACTCTTCCCTGGGAATATCTCCTGTACCATTCTAGGTCGATTGACCGCTGACTCATGGACTGAGTGCCAGATAGCAGTTGTTTATAGTTAGGTGCCATCGGCCATTGAGCCAACTCTCATATAAATTGTTAGTCAAACTTTTATCTTTCTTTTTAAATTTAAGCATAAAATTGTGGCCGTGTGCCATAGAGTCAGAAGTGACCCATCTCCGACCCTACAGTGGGTTTTCAGAGACAGTTAATCAATCACACAGGAGGAGATTGCCCATCCTTCTCCCACCAAGTAGCTGGTGGCCTCGAACTGCAAGGCCTTTAGGATTGCAGTGCAGTATCTTGCCACTAGGCCACCAGAGCCTCCTTAAATAACTGTCCTCAAATCTTCTTTGCTTGCATCCCAAATGGACTGTCTTGCATGATGCCTGAAGTGAATACACCCAAGAGATCTATTGGCTCCCTTTAGAGATCCCTGGACTACAGAATAATTTCTCAATGATCTGCTCATTTCAGAAGAGCCCTAGTAGTTCAGTAGTTATTCACTTGGCTGCTAAAGCTTGGTAGTTTGAACAACTGATTCTGTGAAGGTGTGACATCAGCTTCTGTAAATTTACAGCCTTGCAAACCTATGAGGCAGTTCTACTCTATATTATAGGGCTGCTGTGAGTTGGAATTGACTTGATGGCACCAGGTTTGCTTCTGGTTCATTTCAGTTCCTCAGTCATTTTCCCCCCCTTCAGTCATTTTATAGAAAGTGAAATGATTTTGAAACAAATTGTCTTTATAGAGATTCATAATTTGCAAGCAAAGTCTCCACTCTACTAAATGTGAAATGTTCAAAGCAACAGCTGTGAGCATTTCAAATGTGCACTACTCTTTAACGGCTCAACTGTTGCCAAGGGAAATTGAGTTGGCTTCAAAATCTTCCTTGGTTTTAATTCTGCACTTACCCTCCATCAGAGTGAAGAAACAGGTTTCTGCTTGACTGGGACACTAAACTTTCATGAAGAATGGAATAGGAAATTGCGATGTGGAGATACATGTTTCCTTGAAGCTTAGAACTATATTGGTGTTTTCTTCTAGACATTTTTATAAGAGTAGCATCCACTTTTGAAATAGCTTGCCTCTGGAAACTCTATGAACTTGGAGAAATGATTAAAGTTATACAAGTGTTCAGGTCTTTTGTTCACAGGGTCGCTGGGGGTCGTCTAAGACTCATGGTTCTCAACAAGAAGAAGAGAGAGCTCTGGTGGCCTATTCTACAGGGAGTGGAGCTGTTAACCCAAAGATTAAAACTTTCTTGTAGTTCAAATTTCCAGCTGCTCTGTGGGAAACAATTTTTTTTTTTATGTGTGATTTATAGTCTCAGAAACTCACTGATAAATTGGTTCTGATTTAATGGCAATGAGTTGGAATGGTCATGAGAAATCTATGTGATGCAAATGGTTGATTTGCTCAGTTACGAACTGAATGGCTAGAGAGCAAGAAGTTTGAGAAACCTTGGAAGCAACCCCAAGCATTCTTCTGAAAAAACTCAGCCATCACATATCCCACACATGCAACTAAGTGTGGACACAATTGGGTCTCAATGAGTTGGAGTCAACTGGAGGACAACTAGTTTGGTGACTAACTGCAAAAATGGATACTTTTCTCATAGTGGCCAACTGTTTGCAATCAGTAGGGCATAGGTATCCTTCTGAGACAGCCATCTTTTCGTGCTTAGTTTTAGTTCAGTGTTGGAATCTTTTTTTCCCCCAGCACAAAATTCTTTTCACTCAAGATCAATGTTTTGGCATATATATATATATATATAAACGTGCAACATTTGAGTGTTTAAACAATACAAACGAGAATGTATTTTCTTGCTTTTGATATGAGTTATACCTATGATACATTCTAAGTACTGAGCTAGTCTCTCTCTGATAGCCTAGTGTTATGAAGTTATGGTTACAATCCTAAAGCTGTGGTATGAGTCCACCAGCTACTCTATTGGAGAAGGCCTGGTAATCTCCTTTTCCATTTAAAGCATCTGAAAAGTGCTGGAGGGTCAGCTGTGTTTGTTGGTTCTGACTAAATGGTACACAACCAACATGGTAAACAACTGTTTCTAGTTCTGTTAAGTTTCCCAGCCACAGGTAAAAAGGAGTGAGGTTGAAAGATGAAGCAGTCTGCTTGGCAAAGATTTAAATCTTTAAAAAATCCTATTGTGCTGTTCTACTCTGTCCAATAGAGATGTTGTTAGAATTGACTCTATGTAAGTAGGTTTATTATTTAACTTTAGGAAATATAATGGTGAGATTACAACCAAGCAAAACTGGGATTCAGGACACACAGAAAGATAAAAGATCCAACGGGTTAAACGGTTATCTCTGGATGGAAAAGTTATTTTTTTCTTTAAATTTTAAACCATTAGTATTGCTTATATTCTCTTAGCCTTTTTCTTAAGCATGCATTTAAAGTGTAAGTTTGCACTTAACAGTGTAAGGATCATTCTTGGAACAACACTATTTGTCTAAGGCTCACTAAACCTTATAAATGTATGCAAACACATTTCTATTTCATGTCTTGTTCTGCCTTAAATGAAGTTTCTCCACAAACTCTTTGGGATCCATGCTCCTATCAGAAATCCTGTAAGTTCCTAGTTAGTAGCTGCGGATCTTCCAGTTGATATGAATAAATAATTGCAGAACACGGCGACAGTGTACCCACTTGCACCGGCGCTGGCGTCATCGTGACTTCCAGGAGCTGATATTAAAAATTTAAGGTTTAGGGAAAGAGGCGCGGCGTGTGAAGCTAGGCCACAAGCATTCAGATTTAGAACTGGGAATTACAAAGTGAGCTGCAAGGAGGCATTTACTCAAAAGTAGGGGCGCAAGGGCACGGGCATTTCTTCCCAAGCAGCGCTGGGTCCTATCCTGAGTGTGTCTGTCGTTATTCAGGAGTCACGCGGGCCAGTGCAGGTGATCGAACCGAGGCCCAGGGGGTCCTCCACTACTGGCCGACGTCTGCCCTGAAAATCCACGGCTTGAAGACGATTGTAGTTCAAAGGTTCGCACTACGCGGCCATAATCTTCCTCTGACGCGCGAGTCACACACTTTCCAGTGTAAGGGGAAGGCTGCTGGCCTAGCGGGTGTCGGGACTCCTCACTTCCACCTACCCAATCGCCTGGCGGAAGCAGCAGCAGTTGCATAGCCACAGATCCCGGCTTCATCCGGGTTCCTCAAACCTTGGCCCAATCCTCGGCTTCCTCTCTTCCCACCCTCCCGATCCTCCGCCCCCCCCCGCCGCCAATCCCTGATCAGTTCTCAACCAAACCTGCTACCATGGGAGTGAAGGCAGTGACTGGCCAATGAGGCCTCGCTTCCCGTTTGAAGCCTCCAGTGGTCGTACGCTAGAGGCGGGCGCTGCTGGCCAGAAAGTTCGGTTGCGTGTGTGCCATGGACTCAGCCGCCCGGTGATATTGACAATAGGAGAGAGAAAGGGGCATTGACGGGAACCCACCGCGCGTACCGAACGGCGACTCTGGCATCGGCAGCTCCAGCCCCAGCGGCTCCTCCTCCTTCTTCCTGCTCCTGCTGCCGTTGCGGATCCAATCTTCCTCCTTCCCTTCCCCCCCTCCCCACGTCGTCGCCGCCGCTGGGTCCGGGGCAACGATCAGAGGCGCCGCCCGCCGGGAATGTGAGCAAGGAGCCTCCGGCGGAGCCGCAACGGGGTCGGTGCCGATTTGATGGGACGGGTCCACGGGGGAGGATCGTGAGGCTGCCGCCGCTGCTGCTGCCGGAGAGCTGAGGTTCAGGTCCAGTCGTGAGGCCTAGAGGCGCCGCCGCCTCGGAACCGGAGGAACGCCGCGCCGGACAGCCGTCGCCCCGGGCTCCCCGCCGCTGCCCCGACCTCCCCCTGCACGCCCCGGTCCCGCCGCCCGCCCCCGCTGCGGTCCCTTTGCCCGGCTCCCGCCCCTTGAAAGCACAGATCATCTTCAGATTCTTCCCCAGAAGCTTCAAGGTAACTTCGTCGCTCCACTGAGTCTTGCCCACTTGCTTCTCTCTTCCTCATCCTCTTGTGGAACCTGGGGGGCAGGGACCCCCGGAAAGCCTGGCCTGGACGAACCAGGGGTGCGGAGGGGTGGAGTGCGATAGAGCGAGCGCCCGTGCCACTTGTCTGATTTACCTGGAAATGCTTCTGATGCCTCCTCTTTCACTCTGCTTCACCCCCACCCCTTTTCCCCACCTTCCGGGATTGAAGGCGTATTCTTGTACCCCTTTCTTCACTGTTGGGTCGGGGGAGAAAGAGGGGCTTGGTGTAGTGAGGAGGATTCTGTAGCACTAATTTCTCCTCTATAGGGATTAGGGTGGAGGGTGAGAGCAGAGGAAATATGTAAGCATCCTCATTGACAACCTCCTTCCTTGCCTTTCTCCTCCCCCCAGTGCTATTACCCTTTCTGAATTCTCCCGAGCCTCCAGAATGCTCTGTGCAGATTGCTTAGAGGGTGATAAAGCTTAGGAGCTCTGGTCTAGGGCGAAACCTGTTTCCCCTGGCTTTGCGCGGACCCGCTGCTGCTGCACATTCAGTTCTGCAGCGCCTTAGGGTTGAGATCCTTGACGTTTATTCTGGGCCGCGGGCATAAAGGGCAGATGATTTTTTTTTTTAAATTGCAACCTATATATAGTCTTTAGGGATGAGTGAGGAGAAATCAAGAGATATTGAAGAGTGATGGGGGACGAGGATTTACTGATACTGTGAAATGCAATCTAGGTAATTCCCATGCCTGATTAGAAAAAAAGGTCCCCTGAATTGCCACCATAGAATTGTGATGTGGAGCCTCTCGCTGATGCAGTCATTATGAAATTTTAAAGTGATCTTACATTTTAGTAACTATTCTTAGATTACAGTTCCTTTTGGATATATGGAAT